TTTTTTTTTTTTTTAAATAAAATGTGAGCTAGTCTTGGTCTGTCTAATACTAGTGATAGATATTGTTTCAGTGCTCTAAGATTATATAATTAAAAGCAAATTTTCTCTGTGAAATGTACTTCTGGTGAGTGAAACTAAGGAAACACCCTTTTAAATTTGAGGGTACTCTGTGTGTGTGTGTGTGTGTGTGTGTGTAGTCCTATCCAATTTATTCTTCCAAGAAGTGATGCCCAGGTGCTTAACAATGGCAAAATAACCCACCATTGTATAAAATGATACATGAAAATATTAGTGTTTATAACTGTTTTTAAAGCACTAACATGTATGGTATTTATTAATTTATTTCCATATTTCACTTTTAGATGGGAAAATGTGACATTTAAATGGAAAACTTGGCCCTGCCCAAAAGGGCATGTGCAATATATTGATCACATTAACAGCATTTTTTTTTCTTGCTGGCCTATAGTTATTTCACATAGTGATTATCATGTCYCACCAGCACACAATTAAAATGGAAACATTCAAAACTTAATCCAGACTTGAATTATTCATAAAAGAGCTGATTGTTATGTAGTATTTGTYTTATGCACACAAAATTAATGCTGTGTGTCTTAGAGAAAGAAGGTTTTCTAAACTCCACATTACAAATGTAGGATGTTTATTGCAACGTGTAGAATGTTTATTGCAACATAAACATAAAACTCAGAGGATATTTCACAGGACTCTATTTTGAACAGCTTTTATAAGAAAAAATTAAATAACTTGCTGTTTGTGGAAGAGCTGATGCTTCTTGGAACCAAATTGTGTTGATTTAATTTCAGAATTTTAAATAGAGTTTTCCCGTTGAAGTAGCTTCAGTTTTGAATAATTGATTGAAGACCTTATTTTTGTATTMTTTGGTGCTCCAGATAAAGGTATCTTTAACTCAGAGCACACAATACATGAATATATCTTGTGCAGATTTCAGCTGGAAGATACTTTTTGCCAAATCAGCAGCTCTGATCCTGACATAAAATCAGGTCAAGTACATAAGCACATAATGCTGTGAACTATTTTTTCCCCTGGCTGGGATATAGACTAGATGTTATACTAACAGAATTTGTCTGCAAATTGTTTGTTTATGCAATTTCTTGAGATCTGAATAAGAAGCATGAAAAGGCTTCAGTTCAAAATCATTACTCTTAAGAGTTTGAAAGCAAATAYATGCTGGAGGAATGCCAAAGGACTGCCTCGTGCTTTTATATTTCTTTAGATAACAACTTATCCTTATATGCAGAAACCTGCAACTGTCTGTRTTGCATGTTCTTAACAACAAAGACTTAACCTTTGGTAGAATGAAATTACTGGCCCTCAATTTAAAGTTGTACATGTCTAGAAAGAAATCTCCCCACTCTACGCAGAGTGAATAGTGCTGCTTTTAATGTTCGGGCAGAGAAAGAGCAAGTTCAGTACTTGGTGAGAAAGGAAATAGCCGGGTTTCGGGAGTGGGGATACTTGGAATGTCCATCGGGTGGCAGCGCAAGTGCGAAAAAACGCCACCTGCCTTGTTTAACCGCACTGAAAAGGTTCTGCCGCCTTCGGCAGAGCATATGGGGATTCTCCTTTGTCGAAAAATCCTTACTCCGCTGCCACTTGACACTTTGTCATGCGTAAATGGCAAATTCTTTCCGGGTTAAGGACCACTGTTGACTACACCTATTCGGGAATTTGTTGGAAGTTTCATGCTGGCAGTGTTTTGGGCAAAAACGGAGAAATTCTTGTATGTTTACATATCATTAGTTTATTGATGGGAGTGATGGGGGAGTTTGTTTGTTAGAGTTTGTTGGCTTTTTTTCTTTGTTTCTTTTTTTCCTCCATCCCTGCATTCTTCCTGTAGCTAGTGGAATAGCAGGCTTCCTATTTTGTTAGTTGGCAAAAATTGGCATTTTTTTGGTGTGTATATATATATAGGTTTTTGGTATAAAGGTGAATGTAAAGGAGTGTAACAAGAACCTTTGGAAATACAGCAGGTAGGAAAAAATGATGATGACATGGGTCAACTGAAAATAAAAAAACAAGTCCTCAAACCTATGCAGTAAGTTAATAGCAAAGTCTGAAATAGAGCTGCCCTGCTTACTCTCATACTTATGTAATTTCTCGAGGATATACTTGCATCTGTCAGGTAGAGCAAGCAAAYGCAGTCTCAGACTCTGTYAGTGTTTTGGTTTAAGGCAAATATCCTTTGTCTTGTTATGCTTTCTGCTAATGCATGAGAATTTGATTTGTCATGTACCTAAAGAGTCTGGATTGTGGATGCATGCACACACAAGTGCCTGCTTTTGCAGAATTTCCTTCTTTTTTTCCCCTGAATTCTTAAAAAAATATTAGGCTTTCTGTCTAAGGAAAAGTAAAATTTAATACAATGAAATATGAAGAATAAATGTTTCCATTAGGGATTATAATTTTTCACTACTGTTCCTATATTTTAAAATCCTCCTTCTAAAGGTACTTGTAAGCACACCTACAGATTTCACATGGCTGGTTCCACCTCCCAGGTTTTGCTTTGATACCAGCAATGATGTCATTATGCTGTAGTGGTTTCTTTAGAAATTAAAAGGAATAATTAACCAAGGGAAATGGATTTGTTAGACAGGTGTTGTGATGTGAATGTTGCCTTTTTGCCAGACTATTTAGCCCACAGAC